CACCAACAGCCCCCCTACGGGCTAGCAGAAGACGGAGAAACTGGGGTAACAGCAAGAAACAGAACCAACATCGGACCCCAGTGTTTTNTTTTTTTTACAGTTGGTCCTATCAATATCATTGCTAGTATATCTTGTTTAGACGCGACCACACCCAACACGCAGCACCAAGCCTGAGGTGAACCGTGTGGTCGTACATCCGCTGCGCCGCAAGGCGCATAATTTTCCCTGCTTTCTGACGTTTCAGCCCCATACCGTACCCTGCACAATGCGCTCAATTGACTCTGACAATCGCTGGGCACCCTCCACGGCTTTTCCGCACTGGTCAACAACCCGCACTCAGAGCACCGCCATACTGGACCGCGCAGAGACCCGGCTGTCTTCTGACGGGAATTTCGCTCTTCTTGGATCACCAACAGCCCCCCTACGGGCTAGCAGAAGACGGAGAAACTGGGGCAACAGCAAGAAACGGGACCAACATCGGACCTCAGTCGTTTTCGGCAGACCACGAATGCAGGCCCCTATCCCTACCCGGAGTTGAGAGCCTTGGCGACAAGCCACCGGACGGCGGGTGTGAGGCATGGAAAACGTCTTGTGCCGGGTCCGTTTCCCTTGGTGCGTCGCGGTGGGCGGCATGGAGAACGTCGCCTGCCACCAAGAAGACAAGGCTTGTTGCGTCGCGTACACCATCGAATTCCAACTCCGTTGCCATTCTAGGGGGGAGCCTCTGTAGTGACTCCGTTTCGTCACTCGTGTTTTACGTCACGCTTCTTTTTGTTTTACTGAACGTTGACGCGCGTGAGACCCACACACTTCCACCTTGGTCGTTCAACACACCGTGCGACGCCACTGTGTTTCACATTCAAATACAGTGCCTTTTGTCCAGGTTTCCTAGTCTACCTTCAGTGTTGCGTACGTTGGCTGTTGAGATCACTCTGTCGTATTGGTTTAACGTTACGACTCGTGGGGAGTGTCCGGGGTCCGTAATACCGTCTAGTTAACTAACCAGGGCCACGCGTGGACGGAGCCAGTGCACCTTACAAGGCGTTGCTTTGAAGGTCTGGTCTATGACGATACCAAATCCCTAATTTCCTCGATCCTCGTTAGAGGTAGATGGCTTTCTGTGGTCACACTTCATCCATCGCTTTACGTATGGACTGATATCAACTATCGTGAAATGGAAACTATGTTGGTCTAGAAGGAACCCATCGAACAATCAAATACGCAGTGTGCAAAGCACAGGACATCCAACAATAACACAGTTAACTAGACTCTTGCTGTGCAAGAGCCTTCATTCGACCTGATAACTGAACTGAACTACTATTGTTTTAGTGAATCAACGTTGCTGTCGAGTCAGCGAAACGCGTAGTGGCGCCGAAAATACCCTCAACCCAGACCGAAGCTTTTCGACTATAATATGGACAGGGTTTCTACGGCCACAGCTCCTTTAGTGCAGTTTACCAAGGATTCCGTGCACTTTATTAACCGATGCACCAAACCTGATAGAAAAGGTATTAGCAATGTGTATAATGGTTCATACCCTTAGAATTCAAGAGGAATACGATCGCCACCGCCGTTGGTTTCCTCGCTATGGGAGTCCTTGGATTCATTATCAAACTGATTTTTGTCCCAATAAATAGCATAATCGTTGGGAATTAAAGGACAATTGTTTCATTTTGTATCATATTTGTAAAATTCTTTTCACATCAACTGAACTGACCTCTTCACTACGATTTTGTTTTCGTTACTTCGGTTATGTGCATGTTTTGACTTTGTGATCCTCAAGAATCTATTATGGTATGCCATGTTCGTTTTCGTGTTGTCCTACTTCTATTAATCATTGTGGGTTTTTACTTAGACATGATCCTGAGAAAGCGAATTTCAGGGACGCAGAATCGCTGGTATTAGTCTACCGTGCTGTTCGTACATTTATTTGAGGACTTGGTGTTCTTACACGGGCCGGTGGATGAGATGAAAATGTTTGTTTCATGTGTAGAAAGTCGCAGTGGCTCATTTTGTTTTCTTTCATTTCCGTATGCACAGGAGGAAACGTGGCCTCCAGCCAAACGAGCACAACAATCGGTAAGATTGTTGTGCTATTGGTCGTTGTTTAAAGCTTCCAACACCGAGTATAGCGTACCTTGACTGTCGATTATCCAGTTAATTCCGGCGATTGACCGTGATGTTTCGTGTATGTGGGTCTAGTTCTCAGTTCTGAGTGGGTTTTTCGAACTTGGGTGTTTCTGAAGACAGACNACAGACAAACTCAGTGACCTGGGCCTAAAGCATGCTGCAAAGAGTCAGCGGTTAGTGCCAGGGACCACGACGCTGACCACTGATAGCTGACGAGTTAGCTACCTGAATGCACCCGTGCCCAGGGCCCCATTACATCTTTTACTAGCCCATTGCATAGAGTACTTAGTTTTACTCCGCTCTTACCATCTGCTCTGCCCAGCGTCTCCGTAAGTATACCTAATGGGTGAGGGTTTACGTCTGCAGGTAACCATTGATGCTCGACCCCCTGTCGGTAGACAGACATACGAATAGCAATCAATCTAGCAGTGCGTTCACGCTGTACTCATCTGTATTGGTCTGAGTCAGCTTATACTTGGCCGGGGTATCAATCTGCTTATATGCCCTTCATCAGGGCAGTCTTATTACATTCTAACGGAGCCGAAGAATTACCAATGGCGCCATTCACGTTTGCGGTACATGCTAACAAAGATCATGTAGCAAAGAACATACGTGTATACATGCGCCTCTGCCCGTATTTTAAAACCATATGCACAACTGTGTGTGGCGTTCGTGTAGGCAGGTGTATGTAGCCGTGCCTTACTATATTCTCACCAGTATAGCAGTGCATGGGAGTAGGTTGTTTTATCCTCCCACTAGCCCTACGTTCCATTTACTCTAGACCACGGTATGTATGCAGAGTTTGATTGCGTACTCTGTGTTGACCATATTGGGTCATCTTCCTCCCTCAAAATAGATCCAATCCCTGTCCACCTTAAATTTTACCACTAACCTTGTATGCATTGAAAGTTTGGCACCGATCAGCAGAGTTCGCTTCACTGTATTTCGCTGTACGATGATGATGATTAGACCACTGAGGATGATAACTTGATGCATAAGGTGGCGATTGGAGCTAGAGCTCTGCTCCCAAGGGCGAATAATCCGTGGTGCTTTCAATGTGAATTAGACCGTAACCGCGCCCCGAATAATATTTTTCCTTTTTCTTGTCACACTGGTCCGAGAAGGAGGAAAAGTGTAGTGTTTTACCGGGTTCGGAAGAGGAGATAGTCCCGCATTGTGGCTGTATTTGTGGTACGTCGCAGACGTCCCCGAAAAACAATGTGCACCGCTAACATAGGTGTATGTTGGGTGGCTCAATAATAGCATTCGTTCGCATTTTTGTTGAGATCGAATACTAGTGTGCGATAGTGCGTTTGTCTATTTGATCAATCCTAGCAGTTTTCGGTGGTTGAATATCATGTAGCAAGTGCACTGTTACTGGGGTAATACAGTCAAGTTCACACGAAAATATCTCAGATAGCGGACTTCAAATGAGGTTTTATAATGGCAGTCGAAGCTCCGGTTCAATGGTTTAGAATTCTCTAATAGCATAGTCGTCTTCTTTCAATTTTCGTTACCGCCAAATGAAGTTACAATATGGTTAATATACAGGGAGGAGTTCGTTCTGTGATTCGTCAGTAGGCTGGGGAATAATGCTAGGGCACTGCAACTGGCACTGATAAATTTAGTTGGAGTTGCATATCCAGCCTATTCGGTAGACCAGAGTCTGTCTCGCGTGTCTGTGCGATAATCACAGGCCATTGGTGACAAAGGTCAAGTCAGATGGATCGTAATCCCTTCGGGTGTTCAGCTCCTCGAGGGCTTCAGTATTTTTTTCTTTTTTTTTCTATTACACCTAGGTGTGGTGAACAGCAGACGGGGTAAACACCATAGTCACGACGACCTGCTGTTCAGTGGTTGAAATCGGCAACCTAAGCCCCGGAACTTGGAGTGGCGAAACACATAAGGCCCCGATAGGTTAGACGTGGTATTGAACCGGACGACAGCAGAGCTGCTTACCACCAAAGTCGGGTGGCGGTGGCGGGGCTCGAACCTCGGACCATAGGGTTCAAAGCACGCCGGTGACAGCGACAAAACCACTGCGCCACCACCAACCTCAACTAGGATATTTCTGTACTAGTCTGTACCCTTCTTTGTAGTTTTATAGCCATGGGTTTCCAACTCCCTTCGATGCTCGTGTCTTATCTATCTGGCTTTAACTCCGAATATTGGCCCCTCACCTCGATCACTAGAAGTGAAGTAAGATTTACATAGCAAATGTTCCTAGAGGTTCTGCACCCACTTGGGAAACGAATTTTTATGATCAGGTGTAATGAACTCAGTAACCCTCTGCATATTCGATTTAATCCCAAGGTCTGGTGTTAAAATTTCACAAGGCAGTGCCTGGTCGAGGATATTTGTTTATCA